GGTTGGTCACCTTATTTAAAGTATCCACATCACATATATACTTGCGGATAAACTCAATTTTTTAAGCAAAATACAATGAAAAATTGTATTCACTAGCCTTAAAATAAGCCAATAATGAAAACTAAATATATGAAAATTTCAAAGGCTGGCTTATCCACAGGTGGGCATATATGTGAGCTTATACAAAATAATACCCAATCAGAATATCAGATTGGTGAAGACTGAATTTAATACATAATGTGATATGTGTTCATTTTTCCCCCTTCTTCCCAGCGGTAAAAATAAAATAAACACTGCCAGCAAGTAAATGTATTCTTTAAAATACGTCCTTTAAAGCACAAGCATTTATATTTCATGCATAGCTTTGCTAGGAATTTCAATATTTAATTCTCAAGTTCCAGAGTGATCTAGTGGTGTTAATTTGTACTTGGCACGAAAAAACTAGGCCATCTAGATTTTTGCAGCTCAGATTTACTAACCCTATTAAAACTAGATATTTGCAGTTGTTATTTCTTATCAACTGATCTCTTATTTCAGGGGTGCCAAACTGCCGGCCCGTGGGCCGGTTTCTTCATACCAGAGCCGCGCCCACCCCATTGCCGGCAATGGCAAAAAAGCTCCGATACATCGCGCGACGTCACGAGTTTGACATGTCTGTCTTATTTGGACATGCTGATAGTGAATATGGAAATTGTTTTCTAACACATCTGGAAATTGAGGAAGTCTGATTTAGAGTAATTGAAAATACAAATGACAGCACTGGAAGCAACAGTCTTCCATTAGCCTTTATTTTCAGTAAAATTTTCTGATGTTAAAAGTTGTTCATATGTATTTAGAAATTGGAGCCATAAGGAGGCACACAAACATTAGAGCAATATGCAAATGAACAAACTACAGATACCTACCTCCTTGACATTTAAATGTTTCAAGCTTAAAAAATGGTATTCGTTAATTGTTGGAGACATTTGATAGGTGGAGAAAATATTACAAACCAATTAACTTATTCAATCTTAGCCTTCCCGTATTTTACACAACGCTTGTAGCATCCAGCTCAGTGAGACAATCAAAGATGCTGCAAATAACGGTGTTTATAGCACAGAATAAATTGCAGCTGTAATTTAAAGCCATCAGTTCAGTGATTGTAAAAAGCAGCAGCACAATCTAGTCCAAAATTGAACGGTTTCAAGTTGGACAGTATCTGTGAATTAGTTTAGAGCTTTCAATTTGTGACAATCAGGTTAATAAATGGAGTAAAGTTATAAGTTTTCATTGAAAGAAGAGAGTGTATTTTTTCAGTGCAATTTTTCTTGACATCAAATAGCTTATAATACATAATTTAATTTTTAATCGTTAAATCACCATCTTTTTCTTCTTAAATACAAATACAGCTTCAGCTATCATTTAGCAAAATCTGCACTTTTAATGACTTCTCAGTTCTTCTTGATCTGCATTTCAGAAGTTAACACTGTGAGAATAACATCATTCAGTTACTATTTCAGTCATAAAAGCTGCAAATTATTGCTTGCAAGTCAAGCTTGGTGAGTTGGTTTTTGAAAAGCCAGCCAGCTATAGTTACAAATCCTGCTCAAGCTGAGAAGCTATGAAAAGAAGCATGTAGGTGGGAAGACAGAGTAATGACCTGCTTTGAGAGGAGGTGTGTGTGGGGAGGGGGATGGAAGACAGGGAGAAAGAGACTGCAGCCACTCACTGCAAAGCATAGACCACCACCAACGCTAAAGACACGGAAAACACACAGGCAAAAAAAAGCTCCAAAATCCACATGGAAAACTACTTATGCTATATGGAAACACCAATACCTGAATCCTTTCTTAGGCAAAGTGTTCCTATCAAGATGTGGGTCGCTGTAGAAAAGTTAAAAGAAAAAGAACTTCAGAGAAGAGCAAAAAGGGAATTTAAAGGTCAGTTTGAAAAAAAGAAGAACACACTATAGTATTAAACAACTCTGTCTTAGCACTGAAAAAGAGAGATGAAGGCCCCTGTCAAACCAACATGCAAAAACCTAACCAGGTTTAGACTCTGTTACACAGGACATGCAAGAGGGACCATGCTATATGAACTCAAACCCAAGACTGAGATCGCACAGCTCAGTTCAATCTTCTCCAATTTGGAACTTTTCTATGAAAATTTAGGAAAGTTGCAATCTAACATATCTGGGGGACATCGATTTGGAAAGTTGTAAATACTTATTTTAATGCAACTTTTCAAGCTCATTTGGAAGCTGGACTGGCCATTTGTCTATCACAAAAGTAACTGGGACAGTTTCTTTTCTTAATATGTACATACTTCAAATGAATGTTTCTGGGCAAATGTATACTGCTCATCTCTATGACAATGTCGAAAAGTTGCCTTCAAAAATGCACAAAAAATACAACTCCATCTCTCAACTCTCAACCAAGATTTTTCCAGCATCAGATTGGAATTAATAATACAATCTACAATCTTTTGAAGGGTAAAAAGGGAATAAGTTGCATGAACTAGCAAATAGGTATTTAGGCGTCTATGAGGAGAATTATTTATTTGCTTTCAGGAAAGAAGATTATCATTGAAATAAACTATATTCAGATCACACCTGACCATCTTTCAAAAACACAAGTTCTGTACAGAAACATATGGTTTTAAGTGTTCAAAAGAGCCTTGTTCTGAATAATATCTGCCAACTGTACAAATACTTTTAGTTTAATGAGGGAGTGAATAATAACTAGAGTCCCTCTGTGATAGAGATGGGTGGTTCCAAAATGTGAAAAATAAATAAAATAAATTAGATGTTCTAAAGTGAATCCTGAAATGATGTATCAAATGAAATGAGTTATAGTCTACAAGAGGTTATGCCTGAAAAAATGCATTTATATTTAGGATCCCACAAGATTCTTTGCTATTCTTGCTCTAATAGAGTAACAATCACCTCTATGGAAATTATTTATTTATGTTGTTTATTAAACAATTAAATATATCTAATAATAATAAGTTCTGAAACTTAGTAAAGAAGAGTATTGCCTGCACAGATATAGTTTTAGTGCAGGAAATATGGAGAATTATATTCATTCTACCATTATAATTAGTTTCTAAACATCTAATGGTAGCAATAACATTTCCAGTATGCTTTGCCGCATATTGTTTCCATACATTCATTCTTACAAGGAAGTACACACAACAAAATATCAAAAGAGCCAAAGATTCCCAAAATTGACACTGATATATGCAACTTATTACAGGGACTAATTTCAGCCGCAACAGAAGAGTTGGGAGAGGAAACCAAGACAAAAGGTGAAACAACTGAAAACATGAGGGAAAGCTGCATGCCACCAGAATGCAGAAATGCTAGTGAGAGTTTACCCTTCCAGTACAAAAAATACAGAACTTTGTAAGATCCTTAAGTTTGTTTTTCTTGAAAAAAGCATTACTTTTGTCCACACAATTCTCCAGAATAAGGGTCATTACTGCTGTTACTCTCACTGGCATGTCTTTGAGTGACAGTTCAACACATCCCAGTGAAATATACACACACTCTCCACAGTCTTGCACAATAGACTTTGGCTTCTTAAGCATCACAATGAACCCTCCTGGATCTTGTGTATTCCATTGCCCTTTGACAGACAGCATTACCTGTCCTGCCTCCTGGGTAAAGTATTTCTGCAGAATTTGGGACTAGCAGCAGGGGAAGAGAGAGGGCTAGAAGAAGTTCAACAAGACAGAAAAACAAAACAACAACAAAGAGAGAGAGAGGAAGATTAGCACAAAGGGAAGAAATGGAAAGCTGTTAGAAAAAAAAAAAGAATCCATTCACAGGTTGATAACAGTTGTTTTATGTTGTGAAGCCATAGATCATTAACAGAGTCTAGGAACTGCCTAAATAATTCAGAAAGAGCTACAGTCCTGGATCTTTCTGTCCTAGGCCTTGCTTTTGGCCTTTGGGTTTTCTCTGTTCATTATGCAGAAATAGACAAAGATGACTCTTCCAATTGTTCATTTTCCTAGAAATAGTCTACTTCATTCAGTGCTCATTCTTGTACTACAAATTGATTTCATTTACAGGTAATCCTCGCTTAACAACCAGTTGTTAAAAGTTATGACAGCCACAGTAAAGGAGCTTTTTAGTCTATAAAGCTCAAAAGCTCTGACCATAGAAAATGGCCGTGCTGAGGCCATGCGTTCACATGACAGGCCGGTCAGTTTTATGCAATCTGTAGTTGGGTGTCTGTGATTTGTGATTTTTTTTTGCATGTTTCTGGCATTTTTATCTGTTTTTTGGGGGGAAAGGCCATTCAAATGAATGAGTACACTTAATGACCACTGTGCTTGCTTAATGCCTGTCACGAATGTCTATAAGAAAACAACCAAGCTCAGAGAGCACACCAAGGACCCCTCATTTCAACCCTGAGCTACAAATATTCTTCTTTGCCAGTAAAAACATCCATAAAATAAATACTATTATATCACATTATACTATATATACATTTCTCTCTCTCTCCCCCTCTCTCCACACACACACACACAATTTGGCATATTATGTATGCCAAATTAGTTAATTTCTACAGTTTATGCTAAAAGAAATCAAAGTTGCCAAGGGGGCAATTTTCCAAGTTGTGGAGAAGTGTAATTTTATCACAACTGCTGGAAGCCCTTGGTTATTTGAAATTTCCAGAATGACGGAGACCAAATGATGTAGACTTCCATTTGACTGTCTATATTACCATAGTTTTAATAAAAATAAGATTATTGTATATACCAAACAGAAAAACCAATCTGAATAATTATCACAGATTAAGAAGACTTGAAAACTATGGAAAGCATCTAGCAGTCGGTTCCTCAATATAACACAAACAATAACTGGGGACAGGGAAAATACTGGTATCTTTTGAAATTTTCTCACCTTTCTGACAAGTTTGTTTTAATGCTGTTGGTTCTAACAAAGGAAGGCACTGAGTCATCCTTAGAAGCCGCAATCAAGCCACTGGAAGAATTGTGGTTCAGCCCACTTCCACTGCTGAGAGAAATATCAATGGATTCACAACTGGTGTGCAGGCTGCTGACAGACTGGTATCCAATCCCATCCTTGCTTACAGCAGATGAACTACTGGGGTTGGTACCCCAGGTCAAGCTGTTGGAGGGAGCCGAGTGAGCTGAACTGGGACTAGATGCTAATGGAGACTGATTTGTGTCTGCATTTTTACAATAAAGAGGGCTACTACCACCACTGCTCAATATGCCACTGCCAGAAGGAGATTCTGGATTTCCTTGTTGGTTCATGGTTGCATGTGGGTTGGAGATGACTACTGAATTTTTCATGCTTTCTGCTGTTGTTATGGGAGGTTGTTTATTTGGCTTTCCACCAAAAAGTCTGAAGAAGAAGAAGAAAAGGAAATCAGATATACGTTTTTTTAAATTTTATTTATTTATTGGTATGCCACCTGTATTATATTTACAAATAACTCAGGGAGGTGAACATATCCAACAAAGCCTCCTACTTCTATGTTCCCCACGATAACCCTGTGAGGTGGGTTGGGCTGAGAGAGAAAGAAGCTCTAGCATATATGAAAAAAGTATCCTTAATATTAACGTTATAAATTAATTTCTTCTGCTGTAAACATACCTCCTCTCAGTGAGGAGAGGTATATTGTGCTAAATTTTAATAGTCCAACTATGGTAGTATTCTGAGGTCCTAAATAACATGTGGCATTTTTACTTTTATTGCATTTACTTTCTTCACATTTTGCTGGTCAGTACAAGCAGAAACAGTCAAAGGGGGCTACAAGATTTTGCCCCATATTAGCTAAATTTTCTTTTAATTTTGCTGTGAGAAAGAGAAAAATACTCATCTATTCACATATTAGTGGTATAGGTAGTCCTTACTTAATGACTGTCTGTTTAGCAACTGTTCAAAATTACGACAGCACTGAAGGAGAGGGACTTATGAGCAGTTCTTGTAGTAGCCCTTGATGACCAGCTTGCAATTATGATGCTGCAATATCTCATGGTCATGTGATTGCCATTTGCAGCCTATGTTGCCAGATTCCGACAAAGGGAAAGCTGACAAATGGCGATCATGTGAGGTTGTCTTTAATGACCATGCAGGATTCGTTTAACGACAGCAACAGAAAGTGCTGGAACTGCAATCGGTCAAGTGATGCCATATTTTATAACTATATCACTTAGTAATGGAGCTGTCGGTCCCAATTATCATTGTTAAGCACGGACTACCTGTATGTATTTTTCAGAACGTGACTGCAATGTTCATAATGTTTATTATGTATCCTATATTGTGGTGGAGAAGCTATAATCGTACTTTAAGAGAAGGCAATGTATTTACCTAATTGTATTTACATATACAGTCCTCACCAGGAAACTCATGTTTAGCTGATACTAGATTTCAGTCACATTCCTTAATGGCTCTATTACACTTAGAGGTAGGAGTGAGAAAATATATAACAGAAATTTGCCTTCCACATTATGTTCCTAAACAAATTATTTTTGGAACAGATGACCTAAAATAACTTGATGCTCTTCACTTCTTCTTACAAATCCTATCAATCATGCAACCTGGAAATTTCCAGAATTTGAAATCCAACATATTTGGAGGATATCAAGAGGAAACAGTGGTGCAACTACAGATTTTTATTGATAAAAAAATTTCTATTCTAGACCCAAACATCAAAGTTAACTTCCAGAATGTTTCTTCACATCCTTTGAAATAAACAAATTCAAATGAAAAAAGCTATAATTACCTGCGCAGTGTAGGAGAGGCCACATCTGGGTACTTTACTCCTTGCTGGTGAGTGTTCTGGGATGCACTGGACGTTGTCTGAGGTGATGGGTTTGCTTTAACAGAGTTACAAGAGACCACACTTTCATTATCTGAGGAGATCCCTTTCTCTTTATCAGTCTGGTTTATTAAGCCTGGCAGAGAGTTCCCAAGGACAACTTTTGTTGGTTCTCTTATTTTAGGAACAGGCAAGCCTGCAGACTTGCTGCTTATGTTGGAGTCTATGCTGCTAGTGCTAGATCTATTGCCAGCTCCACTTCTGCTGCTGGATTTGCTGGGGCGGGGTAGACTCCGATACTGAAGATTGGTTCGGGTAGAAATGGCTAAATAGCCATCATCCTGATTTTGTGAGCCATCAACACTAGTCTTCCGGCCAGTGGACCTACCCATGAGTCCAGATGACTTGGGGATTTTACCCAGAGTAGCAGCTCTACTAGTAATAGTTGCTCCACTAGCTGTAATCATGGTCACACCTACAGCTGACCCACTCTGCTTTTTAAATCCAAACATGTTTGTATTAGTACTAGCCGTTCTACAGTTATTTGCGGAAGGCTTTTTTGATTCATCCCCACTGCTTCGCCCAGCATCTGAAGGGGAACGTTTAATGTTTCCAGATTTGGGAGAAATTCTGCCCTTTTCTGAAACCTTGGCATCATCAGTTTTCCCTAAAAAAAAAAAAAGGACAAAAGAAAACAATTTTAAATATTGAAGGGCTTCAAATATTATGCAGAAACATTTCAATATGTTTAAGTTATTTGTAAATGATTAATATATTTGAGGGCCAGGAGAACATACTTAATATGCTATTTAAGTCTAAAAATGTAGCAAATGTAAGGTTACAAGTTATAACTATTTTGTTCGATTACATGAAAAACTACATTGTTATCTAGAACTAGCATTTGAGATATCTCTTCTTAATGATCGTTAAGTATGCTCATTCTAGACAACAACAGAAATGATATGTCTGAATTAAAGAAGTTTTAATCAATTTAATTTAAAAATAAAAAATTTAGTCTGTTGCTTCCAGCGTGCTATATCTGCCCATGGCACCCATACCTGCATCCTGTAGCTCCTAACCGTAGCACCCTCTTGTTCCCAGTACACTGCTGGCGGGGACTCCTGCCTCTTCTGTCTAACAGCCTATGCAGTCCTGGGTTATGACAGCAACCAGATCAGCTGAGACTGATGTCACTAAGTGATATGGTCACATGACATCACTATTCAGTCCCAACAGCCATCATAATTCAAGGACTACCTATATTATCGTCCTTATTTTCTTTGAACTGCTATGATGACAAGGATATTATAGTGTAAAAATCTACCATACTGAATGTTGATGAGGAATTTTGCTACCTAATTATATACAATTAGAAATGAGAATAAAGAGAACTAAAAAAAAAAAGTTTCCCTCCTCTAAAATTTTTTCAGGAAAACTGTGGTATAATTTGGTTATAGCAAAATCTCTTGTTGAAAATACATAGCCTTAGACAGATTTCCAAATTAAGGAGAGCCTGAAAAACAATTGAGAAACTAGCTCTTATTAAACATGCTGTTGATACCTTTTAGATTTATATAAATTAAAGGCCCTATTGATCATGCAAGCAAATTTTCTTTTCTTGATCAAACCTCAGTTACCAGAATCCCTTTAATTTCCTTTAAAAGAAAGAAGATTTATTGTTATATTCACCATCAAAGAAGAGCATTGATCAAAATACAGTTAAAATCTTGGCAGTGGATTTTTTTTTTTTTAAATACTAACAGCATACATTCTTGGCCTGCACTGCATGGCTTTTGGCTGTGCATTCCTCACCTGTTCCAGGTGTCTTCAAAGTTCCTGAGGTGGCTGCCGTTTTCATCCTCGGTGTGGTAATACCAACTTGAGCTGACATGCCCCGTCTCCAGGATCCCGTCTGTGAAATGACGATGTTCTTCCTTCCAGAAGTGCTTTTATCAGATTCATCAGACACATCAGAGGGATTCCTTCTCCATTTAGATCCAGACTCCATTTTTACACCACTGTCTGAGCCTCCATCTGATTTTTTTATTTCATCACCAGACCACAAAGAATTCCGCTCCACTTGGGAATGCTTTTCAGCGTCAGTCTGTTGGAAAACAGAAATGAATCAACTGACACTGCAAACTTTTCTTCCTCTCAGGAAGAAGGATAATATTTCAACATTTTAGTGATTCCTATAGATAAGAGTTCTGGTTTTTATTTTTATTTTTTTTTTAAAAAATAAGAATAAGATACTGATCTACAAACAGAAAATCAAGGAATTTATTTTACATTTCTAATACGCTTAAGTAAAAAAAAAAAGCAAACAAAATGCAAGCCATTCAACGTTACATAAAACAAGATTAAAGAAAAAAAATTATGAAAAGATCTGTCTTGATGCTGTGCAGCTTCCTTGTCCCTCTTATTTTGCACAATACCTTTCATTGCAAAGCACAAACTCATTCACTTCAAATATGTGTTGTGAGCTTTTCCTTTGTTCTGCCTTCTCTATCTCTTTGCTGGCAATTTGATCTGTGGAGCATGAAGAGGCAGCTTTTTGTAACACTAAAGATAAACGAGGCTCTCTCTGTTTCAGCCTTGCACAAACTTCATCATCAACTGAGGTGAGAAATGTTTAGAAGTGACAATGATTCACTGCTCCATCTCGCTGAATTTCATCACGGAGATTACTTATTTATCCATAATTAAATTTATCACTTTGAATTTACGTGAGTGATTAGGGTCCTTCAAACAGAGTAGCATTCTATTTTTTCCTTTCTCATGATGATTACCACAAGAGACAATGAGCTGGGCTGTATTCTGCATTTGCCCTCTTTGTTCCACTTGTACTGCCTTTATGAACTATCTGAAATCATTTGCAATTCAAATCATTGACATGGAGACCAATGCCAAAATTAATTGAAAAACTCTGAACATGCTACACATATGGGGACGCCCCAAAAAACATAGTGAGAGATCCATCCTGTGTAGGGTTTTTTTCTTTTAGTCTGGTTCTGCATCCTTTTTAATACAAATAAGTAAAACTTTTGAACTTTCATGGATTTAAACATTTATGAAATTCACGAATCTGAAAGTGCAAAATACTGAATAATTAGGCAGCAAACACAAAGACAGAAATGAAAGCAGACAGGCTTTAATTCTTCAAATGGTAAATGCTCCATCAATTTTAAATCCAGGGTTGTGCTGATAGTCTTCCAATCTTTATAATTTATAATAACTTCTGGGATCTAAAGATCATATATTTGGAAATCACCCATTCTAAGGAAAGTTAATTAAAATAAATAAGTAAAATTAAAAAGTAGGACCTTTAAATAAATCTTTTGCAAAACTGTTTCTCCAAGCAGCCTGACAGCCACCTCTTTACTGTAACACAGTACAGGTAGTCATCGACTTACAACAGTTTGTTTTGTGGCCATTCGAAGATACAACAGCACTGAAAAAAGTGTTTTTCACAGTTACAACAGTTGCCGCATCTCCATGGTCACATGATCAAAATTCAGATGCTTGGCAACTGGTTCATATTTATGACGGCTGCAGTGTCCTGGGATAATGTGAACATCTTTTGCAATCTTTTGATAAGCAAAGTCAATGGGGAAGCCAGATTCAGGTCACAACCATGTTACTGACTTAACAACTGCAATGATTCACTTAATAACTGTGGCAAGGAGGAGCGTAAAATGGAGCAAAACTCACTTAACAAATGTCTCATTTAACAACATAAATTTTGGGCTCAATTGTGATTGTTAAGTTGAAGACTACCTGTGTTATTACGATATTACATTATTATTACGTTGCATTATTACATACCTTAAAAACACCACAAGGCCATGTTTGAATACTAAATTTTTTGCTATATTAAAAATGCATCTAAAACAATTTATGTCACAAAGTTCAAAGAAGGTATTTCCAAAGAAGAAGCAACAACAAATACAGTTTCCTGTATTTTGCCTAGATTCTCTCTATGCCTAGTAACTAGTTGGTCCTTTATCCCAAGGATGCTTTTTCACGAGGCAACTGCATTTTCACGTTTTTCTTTGAAGACGTTTCGCTTCTCATCCAAGAAGCTTCTTCAGCTCTGACTGGATGGTGGGGAATGGAAGGATTTATATTCCTTGTAGACAGCTGGTCATTTGCATTCTTTTGGGGCAGAGAGGACCACTGGTTTGAAAGAGGGGTCAAAATTGAACAGCCCTCTCTCAACAGAGGGGGACGGATATGACATCATCTATCTCCAGTCTACAACACAGTCCTTCCAACAGTTCCAACAAGACACAGATAAGCCTCCAGGTAGCACTAACAACGTGTCCCCCAAGGGAATATATATATATATATATATATATATATATAT